AAATATTTTGACACCTAAAACCCCCTAAACACTCAAAACTAAACCCTAATAGAACATAATTAACCCAAACATAAATAATATAAAGAAAATATAATTTTTAAAAAGTGGTATTTTTGTAAAGATTTCAAAACTGTGACATTTTTGTAAAGTGGCATTTTTTGAAATTTCTCTTAATTTTTTTTAAAACATATCAAATTACCATGAGTAATTTCATATTACTAATTTTGTATTATTTTATTAGTTTTAGTTAATATCACGTAGAAACTAATTTAAATATATAATTTAAACTTATGCATAATGGAACTTAAAAGATAGATACTATTATTTTAAGATTTATATAAAAAATAACAACTTACAAACTATCTAATTATTATTCTAAATTATTGTGTATTTGATTTGTTATTAAAAAAGTTAAACCAATAAAATAAAGACATGAGTCCAAGAGATGAGTTTTTCTATTCTCTCTCTTAATTTTTTTATTTTTGTTTTTTAATTAGGAGAAACTCCCGTGGAAATCTACGAAGAACTCTCCATTGGAGATGCTTTTACAAGTCGCAAGTTATTTACAATTTGAAATATAAATTTGCGTCTTAAATTATATGGTCGTCTATTTGGGAATTACAATTTACGAACAAAAAATAGCTGAAATAGCGATTGTTTATTTGAATGAATGAAAATAGGAAAACTGTTAGAGAAAATAATGAAAGAGACAGAAGAGAGATAGCTAATTAAAGAGGGCCACGTGGACAGACCAAAACTAGTGGACATGACTTTAGGCCGCACGTGACGGGTGGCCTCCTTATGTCTTCTTGTTGTCGCGCGTGCACACGTGTGAACTCCTTATTTGATTTTTTTTTTCTTTCCGATCCCTATAAATAATCTTCATTCTTCACGTCACCTGTTGGTCCCATAGGCCTGGAAATTTTGAAAAAGAAAGTAATTAACAAATTCTGAAAAATATTAAGCTTTGATTGATAAAATTTTAAATTCTTATGGTAATGGTAATAGCACCAATATATCGATTTGATAGTTGTTATATTATAATATAAAATTGACAATAGTCAACATGTTAAAAACTTTTTTTTTTGTATTATTTTCAAGTATTTTTTTTTTCAACATTATACATTAATTAATTTGAAATCAGATACAAAAACTAATATACTTAATATACAAATTCAAAGAAATATAAAATTATATAATAACTATTACAATGGTCAATGAAAATAAATAAATTTATATGATGTTTTAGAAACATTTTTTTATCGTTAACATATTAGTAAATCTATAAATTTATCTTTTTTACAATTAATCATAACTTGATGAGATTGTCATTTTATGTTATCATCTTTTCAATACTATTTATTGTTATTTTTTTTCTTCTTACGATCTTGTGTGATTCGAATAGTTTAAAATCAAAAGAAAGAAACATAAAAGTAGCATGAAATCAAATTGTTTGTACAATAATATATAGATGACCATTGTTACATTTGACAAAACAACTTGTTCTGAAGTTTGGTATAAGAGCAACTCCAACCACAACACTAAATTTAGTGTTGAAATAGCACCAAATTTAGTGTTATAGTGTATTTTATCTCCAACCACAACACCAA